TTTTGGGTTTTTTTGAGACAGAGTCTCGCTCTGTTGCCCAGACTAGAGTCCTGAGGTTGCTGCGAGCTAGGCTGATGCCACGGCACTCACTCTAGCCTGGGCAACAAAGCGAGACTCTGTCTAAAAAAAAAAAAAAAAGAAGAAAAGAAACATGTCCACACAAAGACTTGTACACAAACATTCACAGAAGCTTTATTTATAACAGATGCAAACTGGAAGCAGTGTGAGCACTCCTCAGTGGGTGAGTGAATAAACAGCTATGGCACATTCATAAAATGGGACACTACTCAGCAACAAAAAGGAACAAACTACTGACACACACAACAACATGGATGAATCTCAAAATTATTATGTGAGGCTGGGTGCAGTGTCTCACACTTATAACCCTAGCACTCTGGGAGGCTGAGGCAAGAGGACTGTTGAGGCCAGGAGCTCGAGACCAGCCTGAGCAAGAGTGAGATGCTGTTTCTGCAAAAACTAGAAAAATTAACCAGGCATGGTATCACACACCTGTAGTCCCAGCTACTCCAGAGGCTGAGGCAAGAGGACCACTTAAGCCCAGGAATTGGAGGCTGCAGTGAGCTATGGTGATGCCACTGCACTCTAGCCAGGAGACAGAGTGAGACCCTGTCTCAAAAAACAAACAAAACCCATTACACTGATCAAGAGAAGCCAGACAAGAGTACCCACCATAAGATTCCATTTATATGGAATTCTAGAAAACATAAATCTAAGAAGTAATAATAGAAAACAAGCATATCCTGGTTGCATGGGGCCAGGTAGTGGGCAAATTGGGAAGGCCCTCCAGGGTGGTAGAACTCTTCTATATTTTTATTGTGGTGGTGGTGACACCACTATAAGTTTGTCACAACTCATAGAAATATATACTTTACATATATTTTATTTTATTGTATGGTATGTACATCAACAAATTTGATTTTTAAAAATTCAAAAAAGAAATAGAGCTTAAAAGGAGGAAGTTTGCAGAGTATTTATATGATAATAATTGCCAAAAAATATAATAAGAGAGAAACTATGTCCTTTTCAAAACAGGCCAGAGAAG